CAGGGAAATGGGGTCACTGAGTACGTTCAGCCTTACTTCGAGGTAAACAAGAAATGCGTGACCCATATAGAGACCATAGACACATCAATCGATACTAGTTTTCAGCGAATCACGAGAATACCTAGAGCGCTACACACACTTGGGGTCGGGTGGGCTGTAGATAAAATCGATAATGTCTATCTAGACATAGCTAACTACGTGCCGTTCAGAGGTGGATCATACCTAGACTTGCCCCTACTATAGGAAAAAACATGCCATGGTCAACGTCAGGAAGAGGAGGCGATTGCCTGAGGGTAGCTATCAGGTCAGCCTTGTTTCCAGCTGACACTCATTCAGACAGGCTTTCTAGCTATCCCCAAGGCGATGGGCTCAACTGGGATGGTATAGATGAACCCACCCCATATCCCAGATAACTAAAATAGAAAAACAGAATAATCTAGCTATAAATGTCTTTGGGCACGAAGGTAACACAACAATAGTGCACAGAGTAAGCCCAGTGTTGGGGAAACGCGTTATCAATATATTCATGATCCAGCGAGGTGACAAGTACCACTACACATGGATAAAACACTTTAGTAGGCTGTTGTATGACCAATCGGCACACAGAGAAAAGAGCCACTTCTGCGAGCGGTGCCTACATGGCTTCTACGAGCTGATTTATTAGAATCCCACGGGAGGATTGCCAAGGTGTGGGGCAGGCGGCCATACCAGTCGACATGCCTAAGGAAGGTGACAATATCCTAAAATTCGGCAACCACAAGAACCAAATGTCTGTGCCTTATATCATATACGCCGACTTTGAAGCCTTGGTCAAACCCGTTGAGGTTGCCGGTATCCCCAATGGTCTACCCACAGGTGAGAAAAAAACACAGGAGCATGAGGCCTGTGGGTTTGGATCGTGGTAGATCCGATGTGATGGGAAAGCGAAAGCTCGGTGGTGTATAGGGGCCCGGCGGCGGCTGAAAGGTTTCTAAAGTGTTTGCAGGAGGAAGAAAAATTATTAGGAATGCACTGTATACAGTTGGCTCCCATGCGTATGACCAAAGCCGACCGGCTAGCTCATCGCCTGTAGCACTTATTGTCACGTGTGTGACTCACCATAACGGTGATTCGGTGAGAGATCACTGCCAGTAACCCGGTAAGTATAGAGGGACCGCTCATAAGCGTGTGTAACCTCAAGCTTAGAATCATCCCTAAGACAATAAACATCCCGTGGTCTTTCACAACTTGAGAGATGCGACTCTCACTTAATCATGCAGGCCATCGCTAAAATCGATGGCAACCTGGCGATGCATCCCCAACAACATGGAGAGATACATCTCCTTCAGCTTAAGCGGCCTGAGGTTCATCGACTTCGGTTCAGTTCCTCCTGTAGTCACTTTCGACAGTCTGGTCAAAACCAGCGATATCTTCCCTATCACCGATCGATACACAGGCGCCGAGACTAGACCCCTGCTGATGAGGAAGGGTGTGTACCCTATGAGTACATGGATGGTTGGGCCAAGTTAGCGAGACCAGACTACCCCCATCAGAGAATTTTACAGCAATCTGACAGACTGGGAAATATCCCAAGACGATTACTCACGCTATTAATGTATGGAATAAACTGGGTTGTAAGAATCTGGGTGACTATCCGCGACCTGTACTTGAGGACAGATGTACTGCTGTTAACCCGGCGTGTTTGAGGCGTTTAGGCAGGCGTGTTTCAAGCAGTATAAACTTCGACCCGCATGGTATTACACCAGCCCAGGTCTGTCGGTGGGATGCCTTGCTGAAAAAGACCACAGTTAAGTTGGAATTGCTCACAGATTACGACATGCACCTATTCATTGAGAAAGGCTTGCGAGGTGGGATTTCCATGGCAACCAAGCGATGCAGCGAAAGCAAATAATCAATCATTGAAGGGCTACGACCGAGCAAGCCAACCAATCATATTCTCTACCTCGGCGTAACAACCTGTGCGGCTGGGCTATGAGCCAGTATCTACCCACAGGGGGATTGAATGGAAGTCACATGAGGTCGATGTTATGAGCATCGCACCAGATTCAAACAAAGGTTATATCCTCGAGGTTGATTTGGAGTACCCCAAGGCATTACACACATCACACAACAGCTACCCCTGGCCCCGAGCGGTATGAGGGTTTACCCGAACTGGATGTCTGAGTACCAACATAACTTGTTAGGCGGTGGGTGGCGAGCGTTGAAAAACTTCGTGCCCAACTTAATGAATAAGACCAAGTACATAGTTCACTATCGCCAACCTACAGCTGTACCTAATGCGTTGGGTATGAGGCTGACCAAAATACACAGGGTGCTTTCGTGTTCGACCAGAGCCCCTGGATGGAATACTACATCAGAATGAACACAGACATCCGAGCTTGCCACCAGTGACTTTGAGAAAAACCTCTACAAGCTCATGAACAACTCGGTGTTTGGTAAGACTATGGAGAACCTTAGGAAGCGCGTGACCGTGAAGCTGGTTCGGTCGAATGAGGAAGACAAGCTCAGGAGACTGATAGCCAGTCTGGCATTCAACCGTAGTAAGATATTCACCCGATGACCTAGTTGCCCTACACATGAAGAAAAGCCACATAAAATTCAACCGGCCTGTTTACGTGGGGATGAGCATCCTCGATTTATCAAACACCTGATGTCACGACTTTTACTACAGCGAGCTGAAGAAACAGAATCTGGCGACAGGTGTGAAGTGCTGTACACTGACCGCGGATTCCCTGTTGATGGATTCCCCGAGGGCGTGTTGATGGAGAAGCGCCGATTTGTATGACACCAGCGACTACCCCAAGGACCATGCCATACACAGCACGGTAAATAAAAAGGTCCTAGGTAAGATGAAGGACAAGTGTGCTGGCTTGCGCCCATAGCCAGTACATAGGTTTGAGGCCTAAGATGTACTCCATCCTGAAGGCCGACAATGGTGAGATCCGGAAGGCGAAGGGTGTTAAGAAGTATGTGGTGAAACAACACATCAAACCGCGCCAGATTCAAAGGAAGCCCTGTTCAAGGACCGTTACCTTTAGACATAAAATGAACACACTTAGAAGTGATGGGCATAGGATATACGGACTTACTATAAACAAAGGCGTCCCTGTCGCCGATGGACACTAAGCGTTGGATAGCTATTGATGGGATAAACACGATGCATTAATGCGGGCATGAAAAAAATTGAACCAAGAACATAGGACAACATGTCGGGACAACGCGGAACCAGAGAAAGTTTGAGGCTATTTACTACAGCCAGCGTGGGTACTGGAAAGGATCTGGCTGTACATAAGCTGGCTAAAATGGCGCGAGTACCCGGAGGAGGCCAAAGCGTGGCGAAAAACAAGCACTTTGGCAGATTTATTTGCTGCCACCACGCTTCGTGCCTAGAAGGAAGTTTGGTATTAACATACCTAATGGCGTTCACCAGGCCGACCTCTATTCCTACCCCATGACAAGAGGTACAAGTATGCCTTAACCGTCGTGGATGTGGCCAGTCGCTACAAAGGAAGCCGAACCCTTGACCGCGAAAGATTCAGCCCAGGTAGCCCGCGGATTCGAAATGATATACAAAGCGCCAGTCCGCTGGCGTGGCCAACAGAGCTGCAAGTTGACCCGGGCGGGAGTTCATGGGTGTCGTGTCACTCCTGTTAGACGAACCACGATACAAAGGTCAGGCGTGGCGCGGCAGGAGCCCATCGCGGCCAAGCTATAGTTGAGAGATTCAATAGAACTTTGGCTGGCGCTTATTCGGACATCAGTATGCGAGGGAGATGGCCAACCGGGAAGCGATCGACTGAATGGGTCGTGAGGTTACCCAAGGTGGTGTCGGCAATCAACCATGAAGCCACCCGTCTCACCGGCAAGAAACCGGCAGACGCTATCAAACTAAAATCAATAGTGGCAGAGTCGGCTGCTCCATTACGTGGGAAAGAGAAACAGATACCAGATAGGGCCCTAATGAGGTATCTATACCAGCCGGGGGAACACGAGGCCGATAGCCGCGAGCGAGCCACCGATCCTATATGGTCAGTCAAAACTTACAACATAGATAAAGTGGGCATCAAAGCAGACGAGCCTAATTTGTACTACTTGAGGGATGGGCCAGGTAGAGGGTTTGTTAGACAGGAATTATTAATCGTACCGTACGGCACAATGTTACCCCCCAAGCAAACACTTACCAAGTAATCCCAATATAGTATCCTGTCAACACGACATGTCACATGATCAGTTCGCTACTCAGGATAGACCCGTTAAACCGACATACTTCAGCCATGTCCCCGGTAGTTGAGTGGGGCGGCTGTGAGGTATACATGTGGAGTTCGTATCCCGCTAGCGTCTCAAACTTTTTTATAGTAGGGGGAATGGGGCGAGATCTAAGGGCCTGAAAAAAAGCCTTATTTGGGAAATAAGGCTTTGCAGAGGCTTTTGTTGGACTTGGTCCAAAACCCCCATTCCCGATACTACTGTTTGTTTTCACAGCTATTAGTGGCGGCCAAAGAGACAGCTGGCAGTTCCGGCAATTACTGATTGCGCGAATAATTAACCGCGCGATGTAGTCTAAACTGTCAATTCCGCGCAAATTGCACCACGCGAAAATAAGTACGTTTACAGTATATAGCTGCGGTCTGTAAATAATCGAGTTTGGACCAGACAATCCAGTGATCAACAGCATCAGCATCGATCTACGCAATTGGGATACGATGACATGTGTCACCCGATCCCGTTAGTCACCTCTTACGACAAGCATGGGTTACTGAAGATCAATTCTAACCCGGACCTTCACAGGTTACTTAATATTAGTAGTATATTGATATTGTATTATGGCATTAGAAGTGCAAGGACCTTGCTGTTGAACATAAACTTACAACAGTGGTAGTGCTAACATCCAACGTAGAACATAAACAGATGACAGGCTCTCACACACTAACCATTGCAAATGAACACTACTGCATATCTCAACGAAAGTTTCATAAATATATAGTTGGAAGTACATTTACCTTTTCTCTAGGAAACCATCTGTTGATGGCCTTCACAAGGTCATACAACACCCTCACAAAGATGGCAGCTTCCTCAGTGTAATGGTCATCTAGGCAGCTCAGTATCTGAGAACAGAACATCAACTTTAGTGTCTGCAGACAGGACATATAGCAATACATGTCTATCAACTTTAGTGTCTGCAGACAGGACATATAGCAATACATGTCTATCAACTTTAGTGTCTGCAGACAGGACATATAGCAATACATGTCTATCAACTTTAGTGACTGAGTGAGTGAGTTTGGTTTTACGCCGCTTTTAGCAATATTCCAGCAATATCACCGGGGGGGACACCAGAAATGAGCTTCACACAATGTACCCATGTGGGGATTCAACCCGGTTACATGTCTATGAACTTTAGTAACGTCTGTAACCACTAGGCTACCCCACGGCCCCTATCAACTTTAGTGTCTGCAGACAGGACATATAGCAATATATGTCTATCAACTTTAGTGTCTGCAGACAGGACATATAGCAATACATGTCTATCAACTTTAGTGTCTGCAGACAGGACATATAGCAATACATGTCTATCTACTTTGGTGTCTGCAGACATGACATATAACAATATATGTGTATCAACAAAACATGTCCAGCATTACAAGAGCTATACACACCAACCTCTTGTACAGTGTCATCAACCAGCGGCAGGATGTCGGCCTCACAGTACTGCAGCATTACACGGAGCACTGTTGGACAGCGTAAGTTGGCCTCCAGGTGGCGTAGGCGGAGGGAGATTGCATTCATCAAATAGTCCGCATTGTGGCGAATCATTTCATCTAGGGAGCTGCAGAATACAGAACATCAAGACTGGGTTTATTCATTGACACAGATCCATATATATAAATGTTACCTGTATTCACAAGCCTGACTTAAATGCAAAGAGTAGGTTACAGTTACCTGTATTCACAAGCCTGATAGAGATCCACAAGGACACTGTAGGCAGTGCTGCTGATGAGGGAGTTGTCGTCACCGAGCTTGTCCAGCAGTGGATATAGTGCCAACATAAGGAGGGGGGCGAAAGCGTTGGCCTTGCACGGAGGCGAAGCTGGCCAGCCCCTCCATGTACAGACACACCTGGCAGATGTTGCAATTGAGGCTCATCACTGTGCTGGGGGAGGCAGCTGGCGAGGGCAGAATGCTGAGGGGGGAGGCTGCAGCTGGACTAGATGTATCAGGCAACACGGCTGTCTGAAGGTCGAAGTTGGTGGGGGACAAGTACTCCTCTGCTAACATCCTGAGTAAAAAGAAAATATTCAGATAAGGACAATCTTTATGGAGAATTCAGGTGATGCGACATTTGGATACAGATTCTTGTATCGTTGTCAAGTAAGTATGAGTCAGGTAGAAAACAGGTTATATATATGATAAATAATTAACAAAAACAACAAGAAGTTAATTGGGAAGTACAGTGACAGTGTGATGACAAGGGATTACATGTAGACAACAGTGGGGTGAACAGAGCAGGTAAAGCTGTTTATATAAGTTTATACAAGCAGCTAGGGGTGGTTGATGAGTTCATTGTATGCAGAGGGGGATGAAATAACCTTGATCTCTACTGATCAGGTGTCTGTGCTGTTTGAAGTGGACGGCTTCTTTAATTTTCGTTTGTGTAAATTCCATTTGAGGTTCTTGAGAGCATTTAGAAGTTGGTGTTCAGTAAAAACGCAAATATTATGGATGACAACTTCTTCTTTATTGTATGTCACAATGTTTCTTGGCTATTCCTTGCCTCTTCATCAGGTGAACTGACCTGACGAAGGGGCAAGGAATAGACCAGAAACGTTGTGAAGGACTGACCTGACGAAGGGGCAAGGAATAGCCCAGAAACATTGTGACATACAATAAAGAAGAAGTTGCTGTCCATAATAATGTAATTTTCTGACTAAAATTGATATTTTATTCTTATCCTGACTCATGCTAATTATACTCATGCTAATTATGCTTGTCTCCTTCCTCTTGCGAACGATAGTGGAACACTTAAAATCCCTTGAAGTTCCCTTTTAAAAAAGTGCACGTAAAATCACTCACCAAAGAGTATCGTCCCTTTCCTCCCTTTGGCGTCCAAATGGTCACATGATCGGCCATATTTGTCACTCTCTCCGTATGTAAGCCTGACACCCGGATTTACAGGAAATCCAGAGTGCCATAAGAGGAGGTTGGGAGGTGGAGATCGCGACTCTTCTTCATGTCACAGTATGTCCTATATGAGTACAGGGTCTATCACTCATGCTAGTCTGTCCTAGACGTGTGCATGGACTTTAACCATTTGCTCTCCAGAGCGTTGGTTTTCACAATTCACGTGATAAAAAGGGTGAGATTTTCTCAGCGCCTTTGTGGAACTGTTAGTTGTTGTGCTACAACAAGTGGCCCAAACTGGTTAATGCCTGGTGAATGTCTTCGTTGGCAATGTCTCTGAGGTAGTGGTTGGCAAACACTGTGTTCGATCATAATAGTTGTTATCGAGCAGTTTCCATGCAGAGCAAGTGTTGACGCCAGGGCTCTGACTTCATGTGCATTGGAGGCTCGTGAAGGCTCAAGTCCTGCTGCTTTATAGGCCCTTAGTATAACAGCTCTCATCCAGATCGATATCGTTGTCTGAGAGACTTCCGTGGGCGTCTCAGTGGATAAGGGGATGAATAGGCGCTTGAATTTTTGTCGCCTTATTTTGTCCTTTGTTGACAGGGAATAAGGATAGATCCTGTGTATCCTGTGGCCCAAGGACTGTAGAGAGTGCTGGGATGTGGAACTGTCTGTCAGGCTGGCCGGGCAGTTGGTTCTTGGCAATGAAATCCCATCTCAGTCCTAGATGTACGATGTGATGATTCAAATCGAGTTCGTTCGTTCGAAGCCCAGAGCATGTATTTCTGACATCCGTGCTGCTGTTGCTAGTGCGATCAGAAACAGCGTTTTCTGAGTCAGTAGTTCAAAGGATGTCCGTTTTAGATGCTCGTAGGCATCACTGGTGAGATGTTGTAGAACTATGTTGAGATCCCAGGCAGGAGCCTTGAATTTTTTTTGTTGGTGGTGGTCTTCCAACTTGAACAAGCGTAGTAGTGCCAGTATCTCTGGTACTTTGGTCAGCTTGACACCCATCTTCATGGTGATAACTGTGCTGAGGGCAGCCAAGTATGTTGAGAGTGTTGAACCTTTTAAGTGTCTCGTCTGTCACAGATGACACAGGTATTCCGCCACTTGAGGATGGGTTGCTTTTACTGCTGAAAAGCTTATACTCGTTGCATGCTATTCAAAACTCTGCCACTTGTCATCATACAAGTTGCGAGTTGATCTGCGTAGAGCTAGTGTTACTGCTTTTGCTGCTCTGGCGGAGTACCCTCTAGTCTTCAGGCAAGCTTTGATATGCTCCACGCGTGTAGCTGGAACAATGCCTGATTCCCGTGAGCTTGCTTGGTGTGTGGATGGACGAGCAGGTTCGACCACTCTGGTAGTTTCAGGGCTGGACTTCCGAGTTCTTGTATTAGGACGGGGAAACCATACTTTCTCTGGCCAATAGGGCGCGACCAAAATCAGTTGCAGCGTTGTCGTCTGCTTGATTTTCTGTATTACTTGTGGTAGTAGTGCTGGAGGTGGAAACGCATAAGCGAGATGCGATTAAAGCGTCTGTTGCCCATGCCTGAGGATCCAGAATCGGAGAGAAGAATGTTGGTAGTTGCTTGTTAAACTTTGTTGCAAACAGGTCTACCAGTGGAGATCCTATTGTCAGTATGACGAACCAGAACGCTTCTGGGTGTAACATCCACTCCGGGGAGATGGTTGTAGTGGACGAGATAGGGCGTCTGCTATGACATTCTTTGTTCCTGGAATGTGGCATGCCTTCATGTAGATGTTCAGGTCCTCGACGATGCTGAACAGGAGAAAGCTGAGTTGTAGCAGACTTATTGATCCTGTTGATCCTTGTTGATGTAGAATGCCATGGTTACGGTTACATACAAAACACACACACTCATGAGTGGAGACACACGACAGAGTTGTCCGTGTGGATCATGAGTCTTGTGTTCTTTAGTACGCTGGACCAGTGTTGTAAAGCATTGATCACTGCTTTCATCTCCAACAAGTTGATGTGCAGACTCTGATCCTGACTCGACCACTTCCCTGCTGCCACTTCGTTTTCGAGGTGGGCACCCCATCCTTGTAGCGATGCATCTACGTAGAGATGAGTGTTGCACATGAACAAATGTTCCTCCACAAACAATCGACTTCCGAGTCCACCATAGGAGGTATGGTTTCAGGCTGTCCGGTAATATCAGCGGATCCAGACTGTCGAGATGGGCGTTCACAAATATTTGTAGTGGGCGCAGCTGTAGTCTCCCTCTGCGAGTCATGTCTTGAGCTGAGGTGAGTAGACCAAGCACGTAGTGTCAATGGAGAGAGCATTGCTTGAGATATCATTTGTTGTACCTTGATCCAACGATCCTCTGGGACGACTGTGTGATTATGGGGTGTGATGAGCCATATTCCCAGCAATTGAAGATCCTGTTTTGTTCCAACTCCAATTAGGAGATTACTAGCCATCTACTGCAAGCATGTCCTACATTGTAGGTACGTGGATCTAGGAGCCCTTGCCATGTCCGACATGGAATCATGGCTTGAAGCTTGTCTCATCAATCTTCCGGTAATATGTAATGAAGATGAACATTGTGCAGCGATGATGCATAATACGTGGTCTGTAGGTCAGCAAAATCTATGATGTACAGGGACTGCCATCGATGTGAAGTCTATTTATAGTCAATCGGCTGCCGCAAGCAGAAACCGTCTCACGCTTGTCGTTGCAAGTCCCCAGATAACCAATGTTAAGTCTGCTGACAAAGGAAGTCCTCTATGACCCGTGAAGATAGTCGACCCACGCTGTACCCTGCTAACTGGACTGTAAATGGAGCCTTTCCCACGTTGAAAGAGTTGTTTACAACTGTAGACGACTTCCTGGCATGTGACTGTGACGTCACCGGTGTTGCAGGAAAATGATCCTTGTAGAATCTTGTGCAGTCTTTGATTTCTTTGTCAACACTCAGCTTGTGCCGGAGTTACAAGAGTGAACACATGTCTTGATGGCTGAGTGGAAGCGCGTGAAAACTTCGCCGCGTAATATCGATGTAAGCAGACTGTTCCCTGTCTGTTGTGACTGTATTCTTCAACTTTATAATCTTTACTGCAGTCGTCATCTGATACAGATGTTCTGTAAAGTTGACCGTAACCGATGTCTCGCTGAGGAACTGCGACAATTCTGTTAACTGTCCCTTTGATATCTTGGAAGCCCATGTGATGAAATTTCATCTTCAGTGTTTCATCGGATGTTATCTGACATCGTTACTTCAGGTGTGTCTCTTCTTTCAGCCACTCGTTGATCCAACATAACCAACACCTAGTTGTAGTGTCCTGTTGTGTTATCTTCTTATCTTGAATATCTATTACGGGATTCACTGATGATCTTGTAATCTCTAACCCTGATGTATCATGAAGGGCTCCGTATGATGAAGGGGAAATCTGCTATCGTTGAACGGTGGGACATGCTGACTCTGATTATAATCCTCCACGTGAGTGCCTGCGCGTAGGTTGATAAAGGTCCAAGTTGGAAAATCCGTATCTGCGCAGTCTGTAGAACGACTGGATCTACTTCTGTGTTAGAATCCTTCCTGCTGAGACGCTGAAACTGCGTGGAGGCTCCATTGTGGACTGCTAACGCTAAGCTGGCGTTCGTTGAATCCTCCAGGCTTTTAACTGCTGATACTTCTGATGGCAAAGATCTTCGCAAACATAACCGTTCGTGCAGGCCTTCATCCGAGAGAGCTTATATAGCTAATATTCCTTCGCGCAGGTCGACTGTCATCGGAGGGGTCTGCTATGCTGAGCTGACATTAGTAGAGTTCTCCAGACTTCTAACTTCAGACAGTGAAGTTAGACATTTCCCTATCTGAAGATCCATATGACGTGAGTCGCTGTATGTAGATCTGTATGTAGAGCTGCGTGCAGGTGAACGGTCCTGGTGTCTTGAGATATCTTCCTGAGCCTTCACGAAGGCTGATTGATGTAATCTCCCCTCTCTCTATGGGTTGATCTGTATGAAGAGCAGGCATGCGATCCCGATGCGATCTTGAATCCTTCCCGAAGGTAGATTCCTGGACGTAGCTTCCCCTCTGTAGGAGTGCCTTCGCGCAGGCTCTTGATAGGCATCAGAGTCCGATGGAGATGACGACTTATATCTGCGACATCTGTAGGGTTCGGGAGAACGCCTCTATTCCTTCCTGCGTGGAGACTTCTTAGCAGCACCCTCTGGGGCGTCTACTTCAGATGGGGAAGATCGTCATGTCCATGAGCCTTCGCGCAGGCTTCCCTCTTCATCCAAATGTGGTGGGGAGACTGTAGAGCCTTCACGCAGGCTAGTAGACGTTGTAGCGGTCTTCATAGCAGCCTTCACCATCATCGACATCATCTGGTCTGTAAACTGTTGCATGAACAGTCCCGGGTTGAAGTTCTGCGTTGTCTGAAGGGACTGCTGCAGGGATGATGCATCTGATACTGAAGAGACGTCATCTAAGGCTCGCTGCACTAGTGAAGAGTTGATGCTGCTGCTATCTCTGGTACCCGATGTCTGCGTTGATAGCAGGTCTTCTGTCAATGTCTGCGCTGATACCAACGCCGATGTAGCTGTAGAAGCAGGCTTCGTCTTCTTACTGACGATGGTGACGTCAGTGAAGATGAAAATTTGGCCTTCTTCATCTGCGATGAGGTCAGCTCAGTAGACGATGATCTCTATGGCCTCCGGCGTTCACCCCTGGTACATCGACCTGCTCCTGAGAAACATTCTGCAATTCACTAAAATTATGAATATCTGCAGCAGTGGTTAACACAGGGTTATCAGCACAATCACTCGATTTAGACATGACTTGTGAATACCTAAGTACCCAGTTCTTAGCACGTCTATGGATGGAAAAAAGGTAATTAGAAAATTCAACAGAGGTTAAATTTACACAAGAACATGAAACAGTGCAATTAGGACATAATAAATGAGGGTCAGCCCCAGACACTCGGTACCTACAATGAATACAAGTTTTCATGAAATGTAAACATGAAGAAAACACATAGAATATAATCCAAAAAACCGTATACAGCAATAATTTGATGTAAGGTCCGAAAATATAAAAGGATATGTTCCGTATAGGGACCCAGGTGCTCTCACAACCGTCCTCAAGGGCGAAGAAGGAGAGAGTGACAAGTATGGCCAATCATGTGACAATTTGGGTGCCAAAGGGAGGAAAGGGACGCTACTCTTTGGTGAGTGATTTTAAGGGACTTCAAGGGATATCAAGTGTTCCACTATCATTCGCAAGAGGAAGGAGACAAGCATAATTAGCATGAGTATAATTAGCATGAGTCAGGATAAGGAAAAATTTTGTGTTTTAAATTCCATTTGGTTGGTTGTCAATATTGTGTACTCTGTCTAGTTGATTTGATGATCTAATTTTTCGTTGTTGGTGTGGTTGCGCTCGTTGGCCTGCAGTAGGTTGTTTCAACAGATCTATGAGATTTCACTGTGTCATATCAGTGTTGTGACTGTGTTGTGACTGTGTCATGTCTGTGTTGTGACTATGTTGTGTCAGTGTTGTGACAGTGTTGTGACAGTGTCATGTCAGTGTTGTGACTTGTGTCGTGACTATGTCATAACAGTGTTGTGACTATGTTGTGACTATGTCATGACAGCGTCATGTCAGTGTTGTGACTGTTGTCACAGTGTCATGTCAGTGTTGTGACTGTTGTCACAGTGTCGTGACTTGTGACAGTGTCATGTCAGTGTTGTGACAGTGTTGTGACAGTGTCATGTCAGTGTTGTGACTTGTGTCATAACAGTGTTGTGACTATGTTGTGACTATGTCATGACAGCGTCATGTCAGTGTTGTGACTGTTGTCACAGTGTCATGTCAGTGTTGTGACTGTTGTCACAGTGTCATGTCAGTGTTGTGACTGTTGTCACAGTGTCGTGACTTGTGACAGTGTCATGTCAGTGTTGTGACAGTGTTGTAACAGTGAGTGAGTGAGTACAGTTTTACGCCGCTTTTAACAATATTCCAGCTATATCACGGCGGGGGACACCAGAAATGGGCTTCACACATTGTACCCATGTGGGGAATCGAACCCGGGTCTTCGGCGTGACGAGTGAACTCTTTAACCACTAGGTTACCCCACTGCCCGTGTTGTGACAGTGTCGTGTCAGTGTTGTGAGTATGTCATGACAGTGTTGTGACTGTGTTGTGGCAGTTTGACTATGTTGTGACAGTGTTGTGACAGTGCGTGTCAGTGCTGTGACTGTTGTGTCAGTGTCATGTCTGTGCTGTGACTATGTTGGTACAGTGTTGTGACTATGTAGTCAGTATCGTGTCAGTGTTCTGACTATTGTGTGTCAGTGTTGTGTCAGTGTTGTGACTATGTTGTGACAGTGTCATGTCAGCATTGACTGTCATGACAGTGTTGTGACTGTCGTAACATTGTTGTGACTATGTTGTGACTATGTCGTGTCAGTGTTGTGACTATGTTGTGACAGTGTTGTGACTATGTAGTCAGTATCATGTCAGTGTTCTGACTATTGCGTCAGTGTTGTGACTATGTTGTGACAGTGTCATGTCAGTGTTGTGACTGTCATGACAGTGTTGTGACTATGTTGTGACTGTCGTGACAGTGTTGTGACTATGTTGTGACTGTCGTAATATTGTTGTGACAGTCTTGACAGTGTTGTGACTATGTTGTGACTGTCGTGACAGTGTTGTGACTATGTTGTGACTGTCGTAATATTGTTGTGACAGTCTTGACAGTGTTGTGACTATGTTGTGACTGTCGTGACAGTGTTGTGACTATGTTGTGACTATGTCGTGACAGTGTTGTGACTATGTTGTGTTAGTGTTATGACAGTGTTGTGACTAGGTTGAGACTATGTTGTGACTGTCATGAGTGTTGTGACTGTCGTAACAGTGTTGTGACTATGTCATGTCAGTGTTGTGACTGTCGTGACAGTGTTGTGACTATCTCATGTCAGTGTTGTGACTGTGTCGTGTCAGTGTTGTGACAGTGTTGTGTCAGTGTTGTGACTTTTTCTGTGGTGTGACTGTTGTTACCTGACTGTACTGTCCAGTTCCCCCTGGTCCGACCCTGGTCTGTCTGCCTGTCTGTCATCTGCAACAGTCAACATCAGCCATACGTTAGACTGACCACTGACTGGATCCAAACTGAAGGCTGGCTGAATACATATTGAACACAGAACAAATTAATGATTTACTGTTATTCTGTTTGGTTCACTGAGGAATAGATGAAAACACCAATGAGCAAACAGCCTACATCTGTACAATGGAAACTTTTGAAATAAATGCAAGAAGATGACAAGGTCATCAATATCCCCGCCACAGCATTCTGTTCCTATTGGCTCCTGGTTTTTAACACCACCACGACATTCATGTCCTGAAAACACAAGCCACATTTGGTTTCCCTGTCTATAATGTTTACTGAGAAAATTTGTTCCCATTAGGGACAATGTGCACTAAGTCAGGAAACGCATGACAAGGGCCATAACTCTGTAAGGAATCGAAACACGGTTTCCGTTTTCGAATTCCATCAAAGCATTTGTGTCCTGAAAATACATACCAAATTTGGTTTTCCTATCTATAACGTTTTTTGTGAAAATCTGTCCCCATCATCTGAGCTCAAACCTATATCCCCCTACCACTTTATGGTGTAGGATAATAACACATGACTGATTCAGCCCACAGGTGGAGGCTTGTATTCAGACGCAACATACCTGATGAAGGCTTGTGTCCAGACACATCACACCTGATGAAGGCTTGTGTCCAGGCACATCACACCTGATGAAGTCTTGCGTCCAGACACATCACACCTGATGTAGTCTTGTGTCCAGACACATCACACCTGATGAAAACTTGTGTCCAGACACATCACACCTGATGAAGTCTTGTGTCCAGACACATCACACCTGATGTAGTCTTGTGTCCAGACACATCACACCTGATGAAAACTTGTGTCCAGACACATCACACCTGATGAAGTCTTGTGTCCAGACACATCACACCTGATGTAGTCTTGTGTCCAGACACATCACACCTGATGAAAACTTGTGTCCAGACACATCACACCTCATGATGTCTTGTATCCAGACACATCACACCTCATGATGTCTTGTATCCAGACACATCACACCTGATGATGTCTTGTGTCCAGATGCTGTAGTGGGAGATATAATACCCATCGTCTAGCAGTACAATTCAAAATACTTCCATAGTTATCACAGAGTGGCCTGGTAGAAGTTCAGTGCGCCATGGTAATCAACTCACTTGGAATATCCCTTTGCAGTTAACGATTCAAGTAAAGACACCAGGTGTGAAAATTAAGTGTGAGCGGAGACCATGCAGCTGATCGGAGTGAAGATGAACCATAATATCGGCATGAACGGGAAGTGGTACTGGAATGGGTCGGCCAAGGTTAGGAACAAACTAACGAGCCAAAAAGGTGCGACCCAAAATCAGTGTCAACCGCTGTGTCATGCATAACTTGAGCAGTATGCGTGGAAGTAGCACCACTGGTGGAAACACATACGGGTTCAAGTCTTCCCAGGGGATGGCTAGAACGTTGTGTTCCCAGGCCAAAGGATCCGGGATCGGGGACACGAATATCGGAAGCAGGTGATGGAAGCGGGTAGCAAACAGATCCACTGTCGGGTTAGACATTGGAAGGCACAAAGTCTGGAACACCTGCGGATGCAGTTTCCACCCCATCGGGTATGGTCGAACCGGACGGGACAAAGAATCTGCAATGACGTACTTCAACCCTGGGATGTGATTGGCCTGGACCGTGATGTTGAAAAAAGTGGATCCCATTCGATTGAAGTGCCACACCGATCGCAGCATAGTCTGATCGAAACAAAAGCTTGGTTGATTGTAACAGGTGATGCCAATGAGTGATCGCAAGAATCACTGCCCTGAGCTCCAAACGTTGGTGTGACATGCGCGGCCTGCGGGAGACCACAACCCTGCTACTTGCTGATCGAGAAAGTGAGCTCCCCACCCATGTAGAGTTATGACTACGTACAGGTGATGTACTGGAGCAAACGGCCTTAAAGAGACTCCACTGTAAATATTCAACCCATCCAACCACCACTGGAGATGGAGATGGAGCGCTGGAGGAAGAGAGATCAATGCATGAGGGATGCCAATCCTGATGTGCTGACACAGAAAAAAGTGGAAAGGCCGTAGTTGAAGCTATCCCCTGAGAGTCAAAGCTTGAACTGACGTCAACAGACCCAGAAGTTCTTGCCACTGACAAAGAGTCCTGAGTTGCGAGAGTGCTAGGGGTACCAAGAAAAAAACTCCAGCGCAGACCTTCCGTTCGACGGGCCACCCTGTAGGACTGGACGAAATGGTTGAGGAAGGCGAAACAATTCCTTTGGGTTCAGTTATCAACCTCGAGATACGAGCGTAGAATCGCTGTATCTGTTGAAGCTGGAGATGGCCTCTGTACGTTGGGGCTTAAGCTGACGTCAGAAGGCCTAGCAATTATTGCCACTGAATAAAAATCTCTCCTGAGATAGGATACGTTCGAGTAGCCAAGCTATCATGACAGCACTGAAGAAGTGCTGAATGTGGGAGGTTCGTGGCATGGAGATGTCAGTCAATCTACAGGAATGTACACATTGTATACAGAGTGATGAAGGCCGTATAAACAGTGATCGTAGGAACGTATAGTTCGCCAAATGAAGTGTTGGTCCGCCAGATGGAGTGAGAAAGTTAGTAAATGCGATGCATGGGATCGTCGGTCTACCGAAACATTCGTAAAGTTGATGGAATGGCAGAGGTAAAAAAGACCAGTGACCCCAGGAACGTTCGTAAAGTAGACGAAGGTAGTAACATCGATGCCTACGCATAGTCCAGACATAGCTGCAGTGACCTCTGAACTGAGGCCTTAAGCTAAGAACCGAGTAAACAAAGCCAAAGTGAAAGCGTCTTGGCGATTCTGTCTGGCACCCTCGGTAAACTGTTTCTCCCGGCTGACTGACGAAACTCGACATAATCACTCTTACCGGGAATGGCACTGTCCATCAACACTGGCAATTAAAGGCTGGGATAGTTATCCGCTTCGTAAGACCAAGACAAGTCTGTCATGGCACTCCATAGTAATCATCAAAAATTCTCGGGTAAACAAACAGTAGTCCGCCATGGCAAACGCTACCCACATGCAATAGTGACAACAAAACGGACACCACAGTCTTTGGTTAACCAGGCGAGTCCCAAGCCATAACATCCGTGTTAAGGGATGCTCGCTACTTGACCAAACATCGATACCACACGCAGAAACTGGGGATACTAGTCCAACTTGATATTCAGGAATATTATACGAAGCTTCACTGAGACTGGTTACTACAGACTACTCGAAGCAGCGTTATGATGTATCGCTGGGTGTAATCGTGGCCTGTTTCGTCATCCTCATCATCATTCCTTAACATCAACCAGTTCTGTTCAGATATGTCAAACCGGGTGGTTGTAGAGCTGACATCTACGTCGAAGGGTAGAGTCGTTGAATCGAATCATTCATCAAAGGTGAAGATCGGAAGGTAGATGATGGAGGGATCTTAAAGATCCAGGATTGTCAATCGCCGTCGTAAAGTAGAGGCCTGCGCTACTGACATAACTACTACCTCTATACAACCAGCAGAAACAATGCACTGGATGGAAGCGTTGATACGTAGAGAGCAGCGCACTGAAGTAGAACGGCACTCTGGATACAATCAGCGCACTAGTAGATAACAAGGAAGTGAATGAAAGCGGCGCATTTGAGCAAAGCGTCGCACTGGACTGAAAACAGTGCATTGACCTATTGTGTAGAGACGAGCCAATCAAAAACCCAAGGTATTCTCTGAAGCTGAACAGAATGAAAGCACCGCATTGGAGTGAATGCACTGTCCGTACATAGACACCGCAGAATCAGGAAGCTAACCCCAAAGTCAAATTGAGCACCGGAAAAAACTGTAGAAATGAGGTATCAACGCCGAAGTTGGAAGAAGTGTTGAAAGGAAAACTCGCAGCAGAAGAAACCACTGTAGGTAAGGTCTACTCCCATTTGTGAAAACTCCCAGTTGTGAGACTCCCAGTTATGAGACAGTGGAGTAGGTAATTAACAACGAAAACACACCACACTTCCCTGTCTAATAGAATGGATTCACCCTAGCTAAAGTACTGTCGAATGCTAGAAAAATGCTTTTTAGCCTTAATACTTTGATAAAGGTGATAAATGTACTATGTTGTCAATATATCAACTCGCCTATAGTGTACCTAATTTTTATTTCAATCGATGTAACATTCCCATGCATTTAAAGGGCAGTTTACAGGAGAGGATATGGTACCAAAGCAACAACTTAGGATTTTGTCCGAGTTCAACAACAGAAATCTGAAATAGTCTTTACATTTATGCTAATAATACAGGTGGTGTAAAAATATGAATCAACGTTTTTCTTTAACAAATAAATGTTGAATGTTTGTGTTACTTTACTTGAAGAAATATTAATATAAATGTTAAGTCTTGATAAATAAGTTTCCCGTCATGCATGCACATCTTTATCACAGCGTCCACTAAGGCCAGCTATTTGCAGTCAATTGTTGCAAAGTTTTTTGTGCTTGATAAAGACAGAGGTAAACCTTTCATTAGTTTAGAAAGGGTTTATTACAGAACTTGTAGAGCTGTTGGTATGTCTTACCAACAAGTTTAAAATATTGTAAACAAATCAGACAAGACAGGGACCGTCTCAAAAGCAAAACCGGGACGTAAAACCATCCTTGACAACTTTGACAAGGGAGTACTTAGACGGGCGGTCTACAAACTTTATGAGAAGAAGAATATATATATTCTAAAGAAGCTACACCAGTGACTTCATTAAATCTTTGGCCAATGTTCACAACTAGATTAAACTGACCGAATTACATCCATATTTTTGCAATGAAATATACTGTTGACATGCAAAACATTTATTAAAAGCGTTGCACATTTCTACCATCAATCGATAAGATAACACAAGTGATAGGATTCTTTCCAATGTACAGTAATTAAAGTATGTTTATTTCAAAACAAACACACATACACAAATGATCCCTTACATAACCAATATGTATACTATC